TGACGCTACAACACTCTACCAAGAGTGACAAAGTGAGACTCTGTCTCTAAAAAAAAAAAAACAAAATTAACAAAACCATGGGACACTGGCATTTTGTGGAGAGGACAGAGGAGGTATAATAGAATTCGGATCTGCAGATGTGCTTGTGCCTGTTTTCTGAAGTAGAATAGAAGCACTATGGGCCTAAGGAAAAATACTCAGATCACTGACATAAAATGAACCTTTGCAAATTCAACCAATACGCAATTTCACAGAATAGCCTGATCAAAACAATCTAATCCTTTAGTTGACTGCTATCTTAAAGTCCAGAAACACAGATCAGGCAAACTCTCTTCTTAGTGAAATACACTATGATTCCGGCTATGGTTTTGGGTTGATAAGTAAAACATGTAAAAATTTACAAAACCGAACAAGTTCTTAGAACAAGAGGACAAAGGTTAAAGCCTAAAACCACAGTCACTGCTTTCTGATACAATATATCAGTCCCATTTCAAATAAATTTCACTTGAGCAGCTGATATCAACTTCCCAATACTTTCAACTATAATATCTTAAAATCAAGTCACTCACACCCAACAGAAAATATTCTAAAATATGTATTCGTCCTATAAACAATGCAAACAGTTATCAAAAGCATATATGTAAATGTAAAAAAACTAATCTTTTATTTAAAAAAAAAGAATTCCTAGAAATGCATTGCTCTGGGTGAGCTGGCTTATGACTGTAATCCTAGCATTTTGGGAGGCTAAGGTTGGAGCATCTCTTGATGCCAGGAGTTTAAGACCAGCCCTAGGAACACAGCAAGATCCTATCTCTATAAAAGAAAGAGGAAGGACGGACGGACAGATGGGCTAGATCCTCCTAGCTATGAGAGGCTGAAGCAGGAGGATCACTTGAACCCTAGAGTTTGACACTGCTGTGAGCTATAATGATGCCACTGCACTACAGCCTAGGCAACAGAGTGAGACCCTGTCTCAAACAAAAAACAAACAAAACAAAAAAAAGTCACAGTCAAGAACAAGCATTAAATAAATAAATAAAAAGAAATGCATTGCAAACATTAAAACGATCTTAAGTATTTCTTAAAACAAACTGATCATTTCCTACTTAGCACCAGAATGATAAATCACCCAGTGACAATATTACAACAATTATCCTTTAAAACAAGTGACTGTAGAACAAACTAAATCAGCGATTTAAGCTTCTAAAGACATTCATTGAAAGCAGATATCCTAAGTGGACAGTGATTACAAAAGATTTTCAAAACTGAAATAGTGAACTTTTTTTTACCTGATGTTCTGCATGAATGTTATCCCCAGTAGGCCATCGATGTTTGCTATTATTATAGCCGCCTCCACCACTTCCTCCTCCCCCAAGCTGCTCACCATGCTGCCTCTGAAAGAAGTAGTCCACCATAGCGTCGTCCTGCGAACGGCCTGCAACTCCTATGGATCCTGGGACAGGGCTGGAGTGTGTCCCAGCTGCAAGAGCCTGATTTGCAGCTGGCTGTGGCTGCGCTTGCGACCCTGTTCCAGATGTCAAAACAGGCATGTTGGGATTAGCTGGTTCTTGAGGGTGATGTTTCAGGTGGGGGCTGAAAGAGTCCTGCCAAAGCACTGCTTTTCTCTTCAAGACACATGCAACGCTCATTCCACCAACACCTAAAGACAAACAGGTAACAAACGTTTAATATTTTCATCTTTCAAAACAATAAAAATGATTTTATCTTTCAAAAGGATAAAAATATGAACTCCATATCTTTTTGCAATATAATCATATACAACCAGTTTCTTCCAAGTAGCTAAATATTTTGTAATGTATACACAACTTCCTAAACTGAAACCTTCATTTTGAAGTTGCCTGATCTGTATGTACAGAAATAAATATAGTTGTTGGCACGTATCGAAATCAGGATTCTGACAAGGTATCGAAATCAGGATTCAATATTACAACTTCAGGAAAACTTACGTTATTACCAAAAGGTAATTGGACACTGGACTTTAATCAATGGCTTCTCTACCCAACTTATTTGTACCCTAAACCAACTGTAGGAGATAGTTTTCAAATGAACAAGATTATAACTGAACCAGACACATGCCAAACCAAACAAAAACCTAAACCCATATATAAATTAGCAATGGCTCAGACTTAAAGGGACCCTTTAAAATGTCTACCATATTCATAAGACACCTTGACAAAGAAAAGCAACAGAATACTCTTAACTTAAATCTTCACCTCAACTATTATTGACAGAAAAAGATATTCAAGATTGTTATCAGTAACCTTTAAGTATACTCACATTATTATTCTATTACTGCTTTAGCTCCCATAAACAGGGTGAGATCAAACCAAATTCAAACAACTTACTAGAAAGCATAGAAAGTTTCATTATAAAAACCAGAGAGGAGCAGCGCCTGTGACTCAGTGGGTAGGATGCCAGCCCCATATACCGAGGGTGGCAGGTTCAAACCTGGCCCCGGCCAAACTGCAA